ATACCCTATGATCCACCTATCCCACTACTGGATATCTATCCAACGAACCTGAAATCAACAATCCAAAGAGGCTTATGCACCCCTATGTTCACTGCAGCATTATTCACATGAGCCAAGAAGTGGAAGCAACCCAAGTGTCCCTCGACTGACGACTGGATAAAGAAGATGTAGTATATAAATACGATGGAATACTACTCAGCCATAAAAGAAAGACAAAATTGTCCCATTTGCAACAACATGGATGGACCTGGATGTTATTATGTTAAGCGAAATAAGCCAGAGAGAGAAAGACAAACACCGTATTTCACTCACATGTGGAATATAAACACACAGACAGAGAGAACTGTTTGGTGGTTACCAGGGGCAAGGGGGTTGGGGGGTGGGCACAAAGGGTGAAGGGAGGCATTTATATGGCGACTGACAAACAATAATATACAACTAAAATTTCACAATGTTATAAACTATTAAGACATCAATAAAAAAAGAATGAGAAAAATAATTAAAATTTAAAAATTAATGTATTAAATATTTATTATCTGCATAATACAAATACATAATATGTAATATAATACAAACATAATACATAATATGTATTAAATAATTAATGTATTAAAACATTTTATACATCAAAAAAACTCACCAAAAACAAACCAGGAAGACAAACTATGAAAAGGGAAAAAAAACATTTGTGACTCATGTGAAAAAGGGATATTTTTCTTAAGAACACAAAAGGCTCTAAATAGTTTTAAAAAATAAATGGTCAAGGGCTTCATCATACTACTTTACATGAAAATATTTAAAAACGTAACATAAAAATCTTGAAAAAATATAAGCTAATATTTTTATAACGTGAACTATGGAAAAGTCTTTCTGAGAAAGACACAAAACCCAGAAATTATCAAGGAAAAGACTGACAAGTTTTATTACATAAAAATCTAAAATCTGTACACTAAAAATCAATACATAAAATAAAAGCCAAGTGACCAGTGGAGAAAATATTTGTAACATTTGTAACAAAGGGTTAATAGGGAGACCATGTAAAGAGCTCCTTTACAAATGAACAGAAACAACACAATAGAAAAATAGTCAAAGGATATGAATAGACATGCCTAATGACTAGGTAAATATGAATGAAAAATTATTTTTATGTTTTGGCCTCCTGAATGGCAAAAACTAAGAGGCTAATAACATCCAATATTGTTGAGGATGTGGAGAAATAAACACTTTCATACATATTGGTGGGAGTATAAATTGGTCCAGCTCTTATGGAAGACAACAAAGTGCTATCTATCCAACTTTTAAATGCATACATCCTCTGACTTAGCAACTTCCTCCCAAGAGTCTAACTTACAAAACTGCTCGCACAAGTGCACAAAGGTATGAATTCACTGCAGCACTATTTAAAACAGTTCAAAAAAAAAATCCTGGAAAAACCTCCTTACATGTCCATCAAAATGGGACTGGTTAAATAAACCATGGTATGCCCATTCTGGGGAATATTATGTGGCCACTAATAAGGTGCCTCTATGTATACTGACATGAAATGATCTCTAAGATATATTGTTAAGTAAAAAAAGCTGCAGCTCAATATGAACCATATAAACCTATTTATGTAATAGGAAAACTGAGCACATATTCTTGACAAGCATATTTACATATGTGTAAATACTCAGAAAAACGCTCAGAGACACTAAGCTGCACTAAGTCAGAGACAGTAGTTACCTTAGAAGAGGGTGGTGAATGGGGGAGAGGTGTAGGGGGACTGCCAATTTTTAGGCTATATACTTTTGCATTATTTGAATTTTTATAACCCCATATGCATTTCTTTTGACATTTTGTTCCTAAAATCATTGGATGAATATCTGATGGGAAAATATTCACACAGACCTGGCCAGGTATCAATTCATTGGTGCTCAGCTCCAAATTCAGCATTCCTTTAAACATTTCTCCTTCACGGTGAAAGTAATGTTAAGCTTTCTCAGTAGAGGGCACTGGAGGCATGCTGCATGAAGAAGGGGCTCTCCTGCTGCTTCCAGCTGGACACAGCCAGCTAGCAGCCAGGCTGTGAGGACATCTGGTGGTGCTCTGCCTCAGCCAGGCAGCAACCTCCACGGCTCTCCCAGATTGGTGATCACCTTCCCATGGCTCCCCGGACAGACACGACGTTCCTGGCCTCTTGCCCACGCCAGGCCCTACTTCCTCTGCATGCCAACATGCCTGCCCACTGGCTACCCTGCCTGCACCCTTGAGTGTTTCCACTGACCCCTCCCTATACACCCATGCATGCAGTCACTGATTGTGGCTCACCTTACAGACACGGTGTGCTCCAGGCTGCCTGCCTGCACCAGCTCCCCGACTCCCCCTGCATGCCCACCTCCCTGGCCACCAGTTGCAGCTCACCTGTGCCCCCCTACCCCCTGAACCCCCGAGGGTTGCTTCCTGCTTGCCCAGCAACAGCAGACCAGCTCTCGCCCCGGCAAACTAGTGAACTTCTCTGCCATCCACTGGGCTGCAAGTATATTTTCTCCTACGAGGTCTGAACCCCAGCTTGAGGAAGGGCCCCCCTTCCAACTCTGTCATTCCTTGGTTATTCTCCCTCAGTCCTAGGCTACCATATAAAATTTTTCTTATATCTTATAGTTACTCTTTTATCACAGTTTAATAATTCCTAGGGGCTGGCCCGGTGGCCTAGTGGTTAAGTTCACGTGCTCTGCTTTGGTGGCCCAAGGTTTGCAGGTTCAGATCCCGGGCATGGACTTACACACTGCTCATCAAGCCATGCTGTGGCGGCATCCCATATACAAAATAGAGGAAGACTGGCAGAGATGTTAGCTCAGGGCCAATCTTCCTCCCCCCCCCCCCCCCCACACACACACTAACAATTCCTTATATTTATTTAACTTTCCTGGTTTAAGTCTCCTGACTGGACCTAGACTGATATAGACTTCGCGCAGGGAGTGGTCCCAGGAGACAGACCCCTAAAGATGGGATTTGGCGATTGGTTTGGTCATGTGCTTGGGCTTGAGTGCAGTACCGAGCTCCCTGTCAATGGGAAATGGATGCTAGTAACCCACCGCATACAGTGGCATCACAATTAACCGAGTCTGCAGTTTACTGTGGTGAAATGCCAAGTCAAACATGTGCGTTGGGAGTGACCTCTGTACATGACTGTATGGCAGTAATGATGATTATAAGGGCTGTGGTGTGGATGGATTATTCTGAGTGCACTTGAACATTTACAAAGAGAAAATGACAAGCTGGGTCCATTAACTTTCAGTGCAAGTCAGGGTCTGAAAAGCAGAAAGCTTCTGTAACAACCCTAAAACAATCTCTTAGTTCTTGTAGCCACACAGCTCCTACTGCTGAAAATCAAATGCAAAATTTAATTGTGTAGGTTGTTAAATTATGATAGCTGAATTCACTAACACGCCGTTTCTCACATGAAAGTTAGGGTACTGTCCAGGAAAGAATGGGATTCCTGAAACTTCGATGGGGGATTATCTGGTTAGACCCAGAGGAAACTGACAATCTTGAACCCCCAAGTCATTCTCAGCTTTCCTCACCAATGGAAGTAGCTTGCCCTCCTGTGTCCAAGGAGATTAGCCTTCCTCTGCTTGAAAACCCTGTGATGACTTCACTTGGGATAGACGTCTTGAGAGCCTCCCTCCCCAAGGCTGACCAGTTAATGCTACCGTTGAGTGTAATCTGCCAACAGCAGAGACCAGTATGTGGTCCCCATATGGCACCATTCCCAGGGGGACCAGTCTGCAAGTTGATTATATTGGACCTCTTCCATCATGGAGGGGGCAAAGATTTGTCCTCACTGGAATACATACATCTTCTGGATGTGGATTTGTCTTCCCTGTCTGTAATGCCTTTGCCAGCACCCACCATCTGTGGATTCTGCCTTATTTACCATTGTGGCATTCTGCAAAGCACTGCATCTAATCAAGGACCTTATTTCACAGCAAAGAAGTCCAGCAATGGGCTCAGGTCCATGGAATCAAATGGTCTTACCATACACTCCATTACCCCGAAGTGGCTGGCCTAAATTTACTGACGATTCAGTTACAGCGCCATCTGGGAGACAGTATCCTAAAAGTATGGGGTTCTGTCTTACAAGATATAGCTTATGCTTTGCATCAGAGACCATTAAATGGTAGAATACATGGGACCACGAATCAAGGGGTGGGAGTGTGAGTGGCTCCTCTCACTATTACACCTAATGACTCTCTTACAAAAATGTTGCTTCCACTTTCAGTAACTTTGAAATCTGTTGGTTTGGAGAGCTTAGTCTTTAAGGGGAAAATGTTTCCACCAGGGGACACAACAGTGGGTTCACTGAATTGGAAGATAAGGGTGCGACTCAGCCATTTTGGGCTCCTTATGCCACTGAACCAATAGGCATAAGAAAATGGGGTTAATTTACTGGCTGAAGTGAACATCCTGATTACCAAAGGGAAATCGAGTTGCTGCAACATATTGGAGGCAAGAGAACTATGTCTGAAACCCAGGGGATCCTCTGGGGCACCTCATAGTACTTCCATGCCAACAGTAAACGTAATGAAAAACTACAGCAACCAAAAAAAGCAGTATGACTGAGGAATGAATGCTTGGGTCACTCCACCATGTAAAGAACCCAGAGCGGTGCAGGTTCTGCCTGAGGGCAAGGGAAATAAGGGAGGTGCAGTTGAAGAAGGAAACCACAGATATCAACTACGATATTGTGACCAATTACAGAAATGAAGACTGTAGTCACTTTGCATATTTTCTCTATGCTTGTTATATGCAGGGGTATATATATATATATATATATATATATATATATATATATATATATATATATATATATATATATAAGCTATTATCCACTCTCTCCTTCTTCCCATTTTTATTTTATACACAAATTATTGGAGGTTAACTTTACAATTTAATTTTTAGGTAACAGAATACTCAGTAGGACTGTGACTCAATTTGAGGAGTAAGTAACACACTGGTAGATAAGACTGTCTTCTCATTTTGGGAGAGTGATTTGCTTGCAAGAAGGACAGCGGTATCCCGTTAAGCAGAAATACAGAGTTGTTTTGTTGTAAGGGAGTTCAAAAGTGTGTAGCCAAGTAGCCAAAGGGTAGACTGTGCCAATTATCAATTTTTTGCCTCCCAGTTCCAAATTCACCCTTCAATACATGCTCCACAGTGAGCTGGATGTTAAGCTTTCTCGGCAGAGGGTGCTGGAGGGACACTGCAGGAGGAAGGGCTCTCTAGCTGCTTCCAGCAGTTGCAAGGACAGTCAGCAGTGTGGGTAAGAGGACAGCTTGTGGTGCTTTGCCCCAACCACCTGCCCAGCACACATAATCCCTTGGTGACTTCAGAGCCTTAACCCAGACTAGCATCCATCTTCCCACAGCTCTCTCCATACACACACTGCATGCTCCAGGTCTCCTGCCCACACTGGTGCTCCCAACTCCCTGTGCAAGCCCATGAATCTGACCACCAGCTACGGCTCACCTGTGCCCCATTTATGCCCTGGAGGGCTGCTTCCTGCCTGCCCAGTGACTGTGAACCAGCTCTGGCCCAGGCAAACAGGCAAACTTCTCTGTTATCCAGTGGGTGGCTACTATACCTTCTCCAGCGAGGTCTACACCTCAGCTTGGGGAGGGCACCCCCCTTCCAAGGTTGTCCTTCCTTGGGTACTCTCCTCAGCCCCAAAAGAGGACAGAGTTTTATTTTATCTTGTAGTTATTGTCTCATGGTTTAATAGTTCTTTATATTAAACATCCCCTGTTTAATTACTGTATGGTTTCTGTCTCCTGATTAGACTCATACTGATATAACCAGTGTAGCATTCCACAGATTACTTTCCTGTCACAAATGGGGAAAAATATGACTTTACAATGGAGGATGTGGCCATCAGCATCTGAACCCACTGGTCCATCTCAACTTCCCTCATAGTGGACAACCTGATGTAATGATGCCTCCAGACATGAGGCAGCACAAACAGCATCACCTACAAAATGTTTCTGCTAAAAATGTTCAACCTGAATCTAATCCAGCCGTTAGCTCTAACACAGTTTCAGGAAATACAGGCTACAATAGAGAAAAAAGTTCAAAGGCACCACAAGGAAGCAATGGGACAAATCCAGAAAGTGACTTGGTCTCTTAAACAAGTCAATGTCATGAAAACAAAAGGTAGGGTGGAGTGGGGATAATAATGTTCAAGTTTACAAGAGGCTTAATTAAGAGAGGTAAGCAAACAAGTAATTCTTGTTTGGGTCTTGATTTCAACAAACCAGTTATAAAAAAGACACTTTGAAGGGGCCGGCCCGGTGGCGCAAGTGGTTGGGTGCGCGCGCTCCGCTGCGGTGGCCCGGGGTTCGCCGGTTCAGAACCCGGGCGCGCACCAACGCACTGCTTGTCAAGCCATGCTGTGGCGGCGTCCCATATAAAGTGGAGGAAGATGGGCACGGATGTTAGCCCAGGGCCAGTCTTCCTCAGCAAAAAAGAGGGGGATTGGCATTGGACGTTAGCTCAGGGCTGGTCCTCCTCACAAAAAAAAAAAAGACACTTTGAAGACAACTGGAGAAGTCTGAATAAGGCTGTCATATTAAATGTTAATTTTGTTAAGTGTGAAATAGTATATTTTTAGAGGAAACTATCATTTTTTTAAGGTAATGCACATTGAAGTTATATCTGTAATTTACTTTAAAATACAGCAGAAAAAGTATTGGATTGAAAAGATGTGTCCAGGGTTTGTTTTTAAATAGTCCCCAAAAAGTGGGTGTGTATTGGGAAGAGGGGGGAAAGATGAAACAAGAATGACAAACTGTTGATACTTGTTGAAGTTGAGTGATGAGCACAGGGATGTTCACTAAATTACTTTTACTCTTTTACGTTTATGTTTATGTATATTTGAACTTTTACTTTTTTGTGTGTGTGTGTGAGGAAGATCAGCCCTGAGCTAACATCCACTGCCAATCCTCCTCTTTTTGTTGAGGAAGACTGGCCCTGGGCTAACATCCGTGCCCATCTTCCTCTACTTTATATGGGACGCCGCCACAGCATGGCTTGACAAGTGGCACGTCGGTGCGCGCCTGGGATCTGAACCGGCAAACCTCAGGCCAACGCAGTGGAGCGCGCACACTTACCCACTGTGCCACCAGGCTGGCCCCATGAACTTTTTCTTAATAAAAGATTTTTTTAACTTCTAAAATAGTTGAAGCAAGGGCCGGCCTGGTGGCTTAGCGGTTAAGTGCGCGTGCTCCACTGCTGGCGGCCCGGGTTCGGATCCCGGGCGCGCACCGACGCACTGCTTCTCCAGCCATGCTGAGGCCGTGTCCCACATACAGCAACTAGAAGGATGTGCAGCTATGACATACAGCTGTCTACTGGGGCTTTGGGGGGAAAATAAATAAATAAATAAAATCTTTAAAAAAAATAAAATAGTTGAAGCAAATAGTGCAACACGATAACATTAAGCCTAAATAACATCTATGGGCGTTCATTCTGCTATTCTACTTTGTTGTACGTTTGAAAATTTTCATAGTAAAATGTTAAACAATTTCCAAGAAAGAAGGAGGTTTACCTCTATCCAATGCTCCAGGGAGTCAAGCTCAGATGAGGCCTGAGCTGTGTCCACTGCAGTAACGAGATGTCACTGAGAATAGGGTGGTCAGACCAGAGTGAGTGGTCAGTGGAAGAGAGAAAATGGAAGCAGTTTTCAGACCCTTGAGGGGAACAGAAAGACAGGGCAAGGAGGGGGGACCTATTTATTTTTTGAATAGGGAAGTTTATTTTTTGTAAGGATGGGGAGTTCGAGTATACTTAAAATCTGAGAGGGAGCACTTGGGAGTAGGGATGGTGGAAAACAAGGTAGAGCAGTAGTCTTCAAACTGTCCTGCAGTAAAGAAACTCCTGGGTGCTTGTTAAAATACACATTGAATTCCCAGGACCTGCGCCAGAGATAATGGAGTAGATCTGCCCTAGTAAGCTGCATGTAGCCAGCATCTCAGGTGAGCTTGATGCAGCGGGTCCCAGACAATAGCTAGAGAAACACTGTGCTCAGGGAAGGTGTGGGTGGAAGGCACATGGTTTATGAGAAGGCAGGGAGACAGGGCACATCTCCTCAGCGGGTTGGGAAAGTCAGCAGGCAGGTTTGGTTGGGGAAGCCTAGGCCCTTCCATGCAATGACTTCCAGTTCTCTGGAAAGCATGAGGTAAAGTCAGCTGTTGGGAGGAGGGGCAGAGGAGATTTCAATTTTCAATATTTCCAAAATATTTTAATTGTTTACAATTAAATGTTTCTTTGTGTCATCTTTTAAAAAGAAAAGTAGAGACCTTGTGGAGAGTGAGCACAGGCTGACTCCACATAACAAGATTGTGAGGGCCCAGCTGAGGCTGGTGGCCAGGAATCTGTAGTAGACCCAACCTGCCTGTGTGTGGCCCTCATGGCAGCGCTCAGCAGCCTGGGTACAGGCACAGAGATGGCGAGTGGTTGATGTGCTGGGAGGGGGTTCTGTGCTGGGCGAGTGCCAACGAAGGACAAACAAACAATGTTGTCAAGTAAAAAGCAAGAAACTGAAACGACTGACTATGGCTGTACTCCAAGCTGGACAAGGAGGGACAGATTTATAGAAGGAGTTCTGCATACGGACACAAAGAACAGAGGGCTCCATGGATGGCGTCCCAGTGAGGCTGAAGAACAGATGTATCAGGACGTATCAGGGTATCAGTGAGGACAACAGTTTATGGTCAGAGAGGGGGCCGTCTGAATCTAACGTTTCAGAGGTGAGCAGTTCTGAATGAGCATAGGCGCAGGGTGGGGGTGGCTGAGGTAGATAAAATCACTTAAAGTAGAGCTCATGGAACCATGAAGCTGGGTGGCCACTTAAGTCACGCTGGAAGGTGGCAAGAGCTGGGATGCCTAGGAGGCTGTGGGCCAAAGCCTCTAGTCAAACAATCAGTGAGGGATGCAGTCCAGGAAGTGGGCAGTGAAGCAGACCGGGGTGGGAAGGAGGTAGAGCCCCTGAAGGGGGTACAGGAGTAAGGGTCAGGGAGCGAAAAGCAACAAAGCATGGACCACCTCCCCAAGCCTTCGAGGTAAAGCAGCTTCTCAGGGACAGTGAGGTGACTCAAGCTGTGCCTTGATGGTGGCATGGGGTATGGATGGGCAGAGCGAAGGGCAGCAGGGAGGGCGGCATCTCAGAAAAGCCTAGGGGTGAGGATTTTGTGAGGACGGGCTATACCTTCAATGAGAAAGGCCAGCTACATCTTTCTCCTCTACTCGCAGGTCCCGGAAGTGGAAATCTCCTCAGCAGCGTAAATGGACCCTGGATTCTAAGACCAGGAAAGCACTAAACCTAGCAGCTCTGGTAGCCTCAATTCCAGCCCCTTCCAGGAGACAGTGAAGAAATCCCTGTGGCAATGCAGCTGAACTGCTGGAGAAGCACAGTCCACTATGAAAACAGATGATCTCTAGTCTGTCCAGCATGGGCTATCGGACCACTGGGGAGGAAGAAACACATGAGGTCTAGCCTTGTGGAGTAATACATTAATTCCAAAATTCCTAGGCCCTAAAGAGAGTCCACCATCACCCCTGAAATCCCTTGACTCCAGCCTGCCTCAAAAAGAAATACTCTGAAGAACTCCTGTGCACTGTTGCTGGAAATGTAAAATGGTGCAGTTGCCATGGAAATCAGTATGATGGTTCCTCAAAAAATTAAACATAGAATTACCATACGATCTAGCAATTCCATTTCTGTGTACATATCCAAAAAAATTGAAAACCAAGTCTCAAAGAGATATTTGTACACCCATGTTCATAGCAGTAATATTCACAATAGCCAAGAAGTGGAAGTAACCCAAGTATCCATTGATGGATGAATGCATAAATAAAAAGTGGCATATACACACAATAGAATATTATTCAGCCTTAAAAAGGAAGGAAATTCTGATACATTCTACAACATAGATGAACCTTGAGGACAGCACGCTAAGCAAAATAAGCCAGTCACAAAAAAGCAAATACTGTATGGTTCCACTTATATGAGCAGTCAAATTCACAGGAACAGAAAATA